CAGAAACTGGGGGAAGAGGTATCCAACACTGCTGGGCTGAACATGTCAGTGACAATGGAAAAGGCATTAGTTCTTCTCAGCAGGTCTGTGTGAAATATAGTCATAATATCATCAAGGCTAGAGGAGATCTCTAAGATCATCAAGTCCAACCATTAACCTGCCACTGCTGGAACACCTAAACCCTAAACCATATCCTCCAGTGCCACATCCAGACACCTCTTAAACACCTGGTGACTCCACCACCTCCCTGGGCAATGTTCCAGTGCTTGAACATCCTCGCAGATACAACATTTCTCCTAACATCTAATAAATAAGTAACACCAATGAACTGGTGTGGAGCATCCCCTCTCTGCCTGCATGCAGTGGGTAAATGGGTGCTCCTCCACCCAATCCAGCCACGGCTCAGGGTGGGATTTGCCAGACTTGAGGCTACAGGAGTTGAAACAAAAGACAAATTTAGCAAGAGACAAGAGAATTCCATGCCCAGGATGGCCAAGGGGAAGGCAGCTGACAAGAAGGATTTGCAACACCAATGTTTAGTCTCATGCCTATGATCTTATCCTTCCTGCTATTATTAGATGTTCTTCCGTTGTTGGAGTGAGCAACTGATAGAGCAGTGACTTATGTTTCTATGTCTTTAGTTGCATGGAGACCTCAGAGCAACCTACCAGGATCTGAAGGGGCTCCAGGGAAGCTGCAGAGGAACTCTTGTTTAGGAGCTGCAGTGACAGGACAAGGAGGAATGGGGAGAAATTGAAAGAGGGAAATTTAGATTAGATCTTAGGAAGAAGTTTTCCCTGTGAAAGAAGTGAGACACTGGCACAGGTTGCCCAGGGAGGATGTGGCTGTCCCAGCCCTGACAGTGTTCACAGCCAGGTTGGCTAAAGCCTTGAGCAACCTGTTCTGGTGGGAGGTGTCCCTGCCCAGGGCTGGGGGTTGGCACTGGATGCTCTCTAAGGTCCATTCCAAACCATTAACATACTATGTATTACACTAAAAGGAAAAATCCCATTCCAACTGCTGCACAACTGTGCAAGATATATGTTACAGACCAAAACACCCCCAGAACAAGGACCAAACTGCAACAAGAGGGTGACAGTTTCAGTAGGGTCTGTCAGGGAACTGGTGATACAACTCCCGGGCTCAAAGTGCATGGGCCTCCATGCATGAAAAGCTGCTTAGACCCAAATACATTTGTGCAGCACAGGTGGTGCCTGGGCTCAGCCAGCACTGCTCTGAGCCCACAGCAACACAGGACTGCAGGGACAGCCCCTCCACAGCTCTGCCTGAGGGAGGCCCCAGCACACAGCTCCTGGTTCCTCCCAGCAGAGCAGTGTGACTGCAGTACTGTCCTCCCTTTACCACAGCAGCCTCCAGGTGCCCAGTGCTCAGCCTGCAGGAAACACTCAGTGCAAGGCTCCTGCACAGGGCTGGGGCAGCCAGGACATCTTGGCCTGGCTCAAGAGCAGTGTGGCAGGTTGACTAGGGCAGGGAGTCTCCCCCCG